TTTAGGAAAGATAGTGAACAGAATGAAGGTCAATATAAGCAAGGATCTTCCATGAATAGAAATATTAAAAATCATGATAAGAGAGTTATGGAGAGAGGGAGAGAGAGAGAGAGACAAAGAGCCAGAAGCAAAACCAAGAATGTAAAGATAATATTCCAAGAAGTTGAAAATACAGGGAATTTTACTGATAGATGACGATAAGTCTCAGATGTCCAGTGGAGAATTTCAAAAGTTGGAGAGGTGTGGAATATGGAATTAAAACTAGGGATATCCAGGGTCTTATGGCATGAGAGTCTGCGCAATGACCTTGAATCATGAGATTCTTGCATGTGACATAACAGGGATAAAATGCATAGTGACATTGTTCCTAATGGTCTCAAACCAGTGAGTGGTGGTGACTATCCTGAAGAAGGAGGTGTGACAGGTCAGTCCAGGAGAACTCATCATTGTCTGCTCCAGCCTCTGGAGATGTGGAGGCTGGGGAAGGGCTGGTCTTCTCTGAGGTAGAGGGTCACTGTCTTGATTCCTGGGGCATCACTCCAACATTCCATGCCCCTTTTGCACAAGATAGACATCATCTGTTCTCCACAAAGCAGTTGAGTTCTCCAAGGCTCCCTTCAGCCTTAAATGCACAATGTTAGACTCCAGGACCTCTTAGGTGCTTACAAAATATTTGATTCTTAAAAACAGTATTGCCTATAATATAGAGGAGGGGTAAACTTTAAAAACAAAATTAATCAACAGTTAACTGTCTATTAACCATACTGTTAGGTTTCAATTTGACTGTCCTAGTTAATTATTTTGAACAGGTGGGATGTGGGCATTTTTTCTTTGTTTTAAATCATGTAGGAAAAATAAACATCCCTGAGGCCAAGACCTCAATATCACCATCTCCTAACCTCTGATAATACCCAAGTCCTTTGTATTTGCTGTTCTTCAAGATCCTGTCACAGTGAGGCAAGCATCTCTTCCTCTTTCAATTTTACCATAGATGTTGCAGCATTCCTGACAAAACCCCACACTGAAAATAACTGGATATACTTTGAAAACCTCCCTATAGCAGGCTTTCGGGCTCCTTCAATCCCATCCCATTCTTTCTCTTTTACCCCTCCCCCACCCCCAGAAGTTGTCCTTGCTCTCTGTCCCAATCTGCATATGCAGGTATAGGTGATTGAAACCAGGTGTCCTTCATCCTCCCCCCAGAGAGTTTCACCTCCACTGGAAGACTTCAGAAGTGGGCTGGTATTGAGTGGAGAAGTATAGGGGATTTTGTAAGTTTTAAGTTGTGACCTGAGCTTGGGGAGAGAGCACAGAAAAGCTGATCTTGGGCCCAAAGTAGCTGTGGAAAGGCCATTGACCAGCAGACCCTGATACAGAAAGCTAAATGGAAGAGGAGAGGCAGCCCTGAAGCCCTGAATAAAGGGATGGGGCCATCAGATGAGAGAGACGGAGAGGCCCACAGCCCACATTTCTCTTTCTCTTCCTGCTCCAGGAGGTAAGCCCAGTTTCTTTCTTTCCTCCTAGCTGCCACCTTCGCTGGACACCTTAAAGATCTACCCAAAATACAAGGAGGTACACTTTCCATTGCTTATAGGATAATAAAGTCAATTCCCATAAGGACCCCTGGGTGGCTCAGTCAGTTAAGCATCTACCTTCAGCTCAGATCATGAGCCCAGGGTCCTGGGATCGAGCCCCAGCCTCCAGCTACTTGTTCAGTGGGGAGTCTGCTTCTCCCTCTGCCCTTACCCTTGCTTATTCTCTCTCTCAAATAAAAAAATAAAATCTAAAAAACACAAACATGAACAAAACAAAAGAAAAACAACTCATAGAAGATATTTATTGAATGGAAAGTAAACTAGCAGACACATTACAGAACAAGACCTATTTAGTACCTGACATGCCAGTTAATTTTAGGCAAACTAATGTAAGTTGAATTTCTTAGGGTTTCTTTCTAAAGCAGATTTACATCTTTCACTATCTTTTCTGTGATAAGCTGAATTTTCAGGGGTGAAAACTGAATTGTTAAAGGCCTGTGAAGGGTGAGGGTGGTGGACTGGGCTTGCATGAAGTAGGGTTTCAACACTATGGGGAAATAAGAGAGATCAAGGAAAACTTGTTAAGAGAACGCAAACTGATTTGAAAGATAAAAAGACGTTTTAAAAAGAGCAAAGCAGTGTGGCATTTGACGTGGAATTTTGGAGTAGCTAGTCCCTTGAGAGAAATACAAGTCAGAAGAGAAATGCAAATTTTATCAAATGGAATCAGGTATCCGCTCTGATTTATTTATCCTCATGTTGAAAAAAGATTTTGATAATGGGGCTTCCGGGTGGCTCAGTCGGTTAAGCGGCTGCCTTTGGCTCAGGTCATGATCTCAGGGTCCTGGGATGCAGCCTCACTCATGTCAGGTTCCCTGCTCAGTGGGGAGCCTGCTTCTCCCTCTGCCTGCCACTCTGCTTACTTGTGCTCTCTCTCCATCTCTCCGTCAAATGCATAACTAAAATCTTAAAAAAAAAAAAGATTTTGATGAAAAGAGTTTTGAGCTAATCCCTATGCTAGATACCATCTTTCCTTTGTATCTTTTCCAGACCTAGATCTTAGACTTCTCCTTTAAAAAAATTGTTATTGAAGTATAGTTGACATACAATGTTGTATGAGTTTGAGACGTACAACATAGTGGTTCGACAATTCTATTGATTACTCAGTGTTCACTACAATAAGTATAGTCACCACCTGCCACCATAGGATGTTATTACATATTACTGACTATTCTTTATGCTGTACTTTTTCATTCTGTGACATTTATTTTGTAACTGGAAGTGTGTTAATTCCCTTTACCTATTTTGCTCCCCACTGAGCACACACCCCAGGCCTTCTTTAATATTGGGGTTCCCTTGAGCTTTCTCTTTGGCCCTTTGCTCTGTCTCTCCAAGGTGCTTTCCCTGGAAGGAGGTGCCTTCAGTGTACTCCTTTGAATATCACTTCTTATATCTTCTTACTTGTATTCTTCATCTCTTAAGATGTGAAAGTAAGAAATCTGGATGTATATCTAGAGTTATATATCCTTAATCCTCATGTACACATTATCACCAATCTGTATGGAGAGAAAACAAATTATTTCACAGATCCACTCTCTTTTATCTGAACTCAAGAGCATCTAGTTAAGCATGTTTTCCTCTGTACTAAAGCAATAGCTAGACATTTACTCTCCCTGGATCGAGGCATTTTGTTACTTGCAGACCTCTGTACCCCGCTTACTGCTGCTAGGTGATCTCTTATGTGTCATTTACAAATTCAGAACATGTCATTCCCCACTTGCCCCCTACTATCTCACATCACACACACACACACACACACACACACACACACCCCTGAATAAAACTCTTTAGTGGCTTTTCAGTGATGTTAAGATCACCTGGTGGGGCAAGAATATGGTCCTGGGACAACTGGATATCCATGTGCAAAAGAATAAAATTGGACTTCTATTTCACACAATAAAAATGAACTCAAAATAGGTCATAAACCTAAGTATAAGAGCTAAATCATAAAACTTTTAAAAATATATAAGAGTAAATCTTGATAACCTTGGATTATGTAAAGCCTTCAAAGATATGACAACAAAAGTTTAAGTGACAAAAAATGATGACTTTCAGCAAAATTCAAAATTTGTTCTTCTAAAGGATCCAGTCAAAAAAGTGAAGAGACAACCCTAGCACTGGAGAAAATATTTAGAAATCAGAATCCACAAAGGACTTTTATCTTGAATATATAAACTCTTACTTAATAATAAAATGACAAGCCATTTAAAAAAAGGGGGGGCTAAATAGACATTTCTCCGAAGAAGATATGCAAATAGCAGTAAAGTATATGAAATGATGCTTAACACCTTAGTCCTTTGGGAAATGCAAATTAAAATATCAGTGAGATACCACTTCACACCTACCAAGATGACTATAAAAGTCATAATAACAAATACTGGCAAGGATGTGGAGACATTAGAACGCTTTACACTGCTGGTGAGAATGTAAAATGGTGCAGTCACTGTGGAAAACAGTCTGGAAGATTCTCAAGAGTAAATACATAATCTGGCAATTCTATTCTTAGGTATACGCCCAAGAAAAACAAAAAGCTTATGTTAAAAACAAAACAAAAAACAAACTTGTAAAAGAAAATTCATAGTCACATTATTCATAAAAACCAAAAAGCAGAAACAATCCAAAATACCTAAAACCTGATGAAATGGTAAAGAAAATGTGGAAAATCCATACCATGGAATGTTATTCGGCCATCAAAGGAATAAAGTACTCACACACATGCAACAATAATGAACTGTAAAAATAATATGCTAAGTGAAAAAATTCATGTTGCCCAACTCTTCTGCCCTGACTTTTATCTTGACATCCCCCGCCCCCAATCAGCCTCTCTGCAGGCCCTCCTCCCCCATCCCACCTTCCCAAACCAGGTCAGGTTCATGTTCTAGGTTCCCTTGGGTCAAAAGCTTGCCCTTCCTTTTCTTCTCAAAAGTCGCTGTGCCTTTGAAACATTATAGTTCAGATCTCGGGCTTCATAAGCTTTGCATATATTCACAAGGACGTAAAAACCCATATATACGGTCTCTCATAGGGTTCATAGGTCATATAGGTTAAAATCTTGGTATAATTTTTAAAGTTAACGATGTTTTTGCAAAACATACCATTATGATGCGAAACAGTTATCTTTACCTACTCGTTTAAATTTGGATATTCTTTATTCAGACATTTTAATCAGGCGTATTTTCGGTGTTCCTCAACACTGACACGAAGTCGGAAAACCCAAGGGATGACCACTTGCAAACGCCATCTGCGGAGTTCAGGTGTTTTCCTGGGCCCCAGGACGTGCGGCGCACAGGTAGGCGGAACAGCGCCCCCGCCGGCAGGTGGGGCCCGCGGGACCACACCCCTGGAGTGCCCGACCGGTGCGGCGCTGGACTGGCGGGTCCTATCAGCAGCCCTCGCCCTCCCTCGCCCCGCCTCTGGGCCGGGAGTCTCTCCGCTGGGGTGGAGGAGGCCGCTGCGGTGTGTCCTCGGCTCCGATCCAGGCCCCAGAGCCCAGGTTAGTGAGCCACTCTGTTCTCTGGCCAGCCACCGCTGTCCGCGCAGGTTCTGGGAGTTCGACCCGCCCTGCAGGCTGGGTTGCGGGGTTCGCGGGTGAACAGGAGTGAGGGAGACCTCTGCGGTTTTGAGTTGACTGACTTTTGCATGGGAGCTCCTCAGGCCAGGCTCCTCCTGGTTCGGGACCCGGGGGTGGTCTGTGCAAAGGGTCGTGACAGGGGACCGCAGGAGGTAGGGGAGGCAGTCCTGAAAGTTTTTTGAGTTCGGGAATGCGTGCAAACCATGGGACTGGCGTGGATTCCGAGGTCAGCATCCCCTCCCCCATCTCTGCCTCTCTGCCCCAGGAAGTGACACCGCTTATCCTCCACCCGGGAGGCCCTGACCTCTCCCCGGGGAGCAGGAGGGTGAGGCTTCCGCCCTCGCGGGACCTGAGGGTCTGTTCCAAGGCCGGGTCCTCGAGCCCTGCGTTTCAGGGAAAGGAGCAGGCCCACACGCCCCGGGTCCTCACAGTCTACCCAAAACTACTGGGAGTCTTGACCAACTGGGGCTGCTCCCATCTGGATCCTCTAGGGCTTCTCATTCTGTCGGTATGCCGGTCACAGGGAGACGTCTGCCATTCTGTGACGGGCCACTAACTGTCGCTCCTGGCAGAGGTGAGAGAGCAGTAAAAGATGCGGTCCCTTCGCTTTCCGAGCTTATGACATAGATCATTTTATTTTTATTTCCTTTTCATCCTTCTGACACTAATCTCTTGGAGCTTCTGTTTTTTCTTCCATCTGTAAAATGGACCCAGTAATATTTATACCCTAGAGTTTTGGTGAGTATTAAGTGAGGGAGAAGTTTAACATGGGCGACTGCCTGACAAAATGTAAATTAAGTCTTTATTCTTGAAAAAGTCGATGAGCTTTTAAAAAATGGCAATTTTTTTTTTTTTTTTTTGCAAGAATAGAGGGGGGAATAAAATTTTTTAAAATGCACTATGGTAAAGAAGAGTATAACCAACATCTAAACAAATGAAAGTATAATAAGAGTTTTAAAAATTTGGAATTGCAAGTGGAATATCACAAATGCAGGGGAAAAAATAATAATTTTGTGAATTAGCCATTAAAAAAAAACCACTCAGTGGACTGTCTAAAACTCAGGGAAAAGAAAACTTGTGCAGGACAGTATTTTAAGAATTTGCAAAGTTATTTAATTGTACGTTTCTGAAGTGGATGGGATAGAGATTCTTTTGAAGTAAATTTTAAAAAGAATTTAAGACTGATTTTGTTCCAGTTCCAATATTTATCAAGTGTCACCTGTTAGATAACCATTCCAGATAATAGGTTAAAATAGAATATAACCCTACACAAAGGTTAAAAAAAAAATACAGTTATTCCCTAAGTACAAGAAACTAAACTCTCTTATAAATGCAGCTTCTACCTGTTTAGTTTTTTTACCACATTTTCAGTAGAGCTCCCAGCTGGTGGGTAGACTGCCCATCTCATTTCCAACTCATTCTGAGGCCCCATCCTGGGCTAGCTTGTAGTATTTCTTGCCCTGTCACTGACTTTTATTCTGAAGCCATTTGATATTGAATTGTAAGCTTCCGTTGGAGTGGATACTTCTGATCTAACTAGGAGCTTATCCTCTGACTTTTCCTCCCCACCCCACCCTCCCCCTTCTAGCTGTTTTGCTCCCAGATTGCATCTGCCTGGGAAGGACGTGCCTTTACGTAAGACAGGGCTTCTGAAACCTTGCTGTGCATAGATGTCACCTAGAGATCTTTATTGACTTGCAGAAACTGAATTGTCCAGGATGAGGCTAAGATTCTGCATAAAGAGCTCCAGGGATGCCAATGCTGATAGCAGACCACCAGACATTCTTTTTCAGGCATCTGCTTCTGATTTAATAGTTCACCAGGACATGAATTTGGGCTCTTTCATTTGCAGATTTGATCCACAGGGCTCTGGCATTTCAGCCTCTGGGATCTGCTCTCCTCCCACAGCCAGGTTGTCATCTCTCAGTCTGACCACACTGCTCTTAAGACAGGCTTTCCTGGGAGACTGAATTGACCCACCTTTTTGGCTCCTTCGGGGTGCGCTCTGGTGTCTTGGGTAGTGAGCAACAGCTACTAAACATGCTAACTGTATGCTTCCCTCCACAATTTCTTCCTTTCTGCAGCCTCAACTTTATACCCTCTGACAAGACACATGAACTCTTTCAGCAAAAATCTTTCTCTGTCCTGAATATCTATAGTACTGCATTAGATGGAAAAGAAATACAGAAATATAACAGGACCACATTTTTCATTTTAAATTTTCCAGTGGCCTCATTAAAAAGAAGAAACAGGTGAAATTGATTTGAATATATTTTACTTAACTCAGTGCATCAATAATATAAAATACTAGGATGTGTTATCAATATAAAAGGTGTTAGTGATGTGTTTTAGATTATTTTTTCTAACAAAATCTTTTGAAATCTGGTGTGTATTTTATACTTAAAACATCTCATTTTTTGACTAGCCACATTTCAGGTGGCTACAATATTAGACAGCTCAGTTCTAATTTATGCTTAGAAGATCAGAAAGCCAAGCCTTTAACTTTGCTCAATGTGTTTCTTTGTTCTGTTTTTGTAGTAATCAGCTCTAATGAGCTATAATTTACATCTATAAAATCAATTTTAGGGCGCCTGGGTGGTTCAGTGAGTTAAGCCTCTGCCCTCCGCTCAGGTCATGATCTCAGGGTCCTGGGATCGAGTGCCGTGGTCGAGCTCTCTGCTCAGTGGGGAGCCTGCTTCCCTCTCTCTCTTTCTGCCTGCCTCTCTGCCTACTTGTGATCTCGCTGTCAAATAAACAAACAAAAAATCTTTTTAAAAAAAATCAATTTTAAAGCATACAATTCTGTGAGTTTTGTTTCGTATACAGTTGTACAACTGCCAACACAACCATTTATAAAGGTCATTTCCATCACCCCCAAAAGTTCCTTGTGTCCTGATGCAGTTAATCCCCTTCTCACAACCCTGGGCTTTGGCATCCACTAGTTTGTTTTCAAATAGCATAGTTTTATTTTTTCTAGGATTTCATATAAATGGAACCATACAATAACTTTTGATATCTAGCTTCTTTCCTTTTGTATCATGCTTTTGAGATTTATCTTGTGTAAGTATCAGTTCCATTTTATTGTTTGGTAATATACCATTGTATGGAATATACCACAATCTTTTCATTTACCAGTTAATGGTTTTATGGATTATTTCCAGTTTTTGGCTGTTAATGCATTGCATCTATGAGGCAGAAATGCCCTGTGTCCTGTCCTGTACATGAAGGTCACAACTGAGACCCCAGGGCTAGTGTGTCTTCAATGAGGTGGTGCATTTGTGAGTTGGCTCTTCTTTAATGTCCCCGAGAAGAGTCCAGCTAGATGAGCAGAGCAAATGGTTTCCAAGGAAAGTGATTAAATGCAGAGACACATACTCACTCACTCTATACACACGTAGATACATACATAAGAAAAAATGTCTAAAAAATTCTCATTGTGATTTAAGACAATGGTAATATAATTGCACAACCGAAAATGTCTAATAATGAGAATAAAATAGTGTTTTTCAATGAGGGCATCTATCTTAATTCAGCACAAACAGTAAAGTTAGAGGACATTCTAGGATCTCAAGTGTATAGTTAGAGAAGCTTCTAACTTTCTTTTTTTTTTATTTAATTTTATTTTTTCAGTTTTCCAAGATTCATTGTTTATGCACCACACCCTGGTGCTCCATGCAATACGTGCCCTCCTTAATACCCACCACCAGGTTCACCTAACCTCCACCCCCCTTCCCTCTAAAACCCTGTCTATTTCTCAGAGTCTGCGGTCTCTCATGGTTTGTCCCCCGCTCCGATTTCCCCCAACTCACTTCCCCTCTCCTTCACCCAAAGTCCTCCATGTTATTCCTTATGCTCCACAAGTAAGTGACCATATGACAACTGACTCTCTCTGCTTGACTTATTTCACTCAGCATAATCTCTTCCAATCCCGTCCATGTCCATGTTGATAACAAAAGTTGGGTATTCATCCTTTCTGATGGAGGCATAATATTCCATTGTGTATATGGACCATATCTTCTTTATCCATTCGTCTGTTGAAGGGCATCTTGGCTCTTTGCACAGTTTGGCAACTGTGGCCATTGCTGCTATGAACATTGGGGTACAGATGGCCCTTTTCACTACATCAGTATGTCTGGGGTAAATACCCAACAGTGTACTTGCAGGGTCATAAGGTAGCCCTATTTTTAATTTCTTAAGGCATCTCCACACTTCTTAACTGATCCTTTCCGCAGGCACACAGAGACAACTAACTCAGGTCAAGCTCTCTCACATTGTCCTTAAGTGCCATCTCATTAAATCTTGTTATGAATTTTAATAGTGGATTTTTCTCCTAGTTCCAAAAGAAGTAAGAAGAAATGAAAAGGGGTAAGAAAGTAATCCATAAATTCTTATAACAGATACTTATGAAGAGCTATCTCTCCACCAGACTTTGCTTTGTCCCTGCTAAAAATATGAAGAGGCCCTTTTCCTCCTGGTGGCAGGCAAGAGCACTGCAGGATCAGAGAGCAGCACCAGCGTAAGGGTAACCATAATTAATCTTTATTGAGACTATTCTCTGCATTGGCTTAGGTAATTATCACAACTATACTCCTAAGGGAGGAATTGATCTCAGCAATGCACAAAAGATGGAGCCGCATCTCAGATCGGGAATCATTCCAGTGTTCTAAAACTGGATCAGTATATTTAGGATTTAGACCTGGGTCTACGTTGCTCTAGCACCAGTGCCTTTTCTGCCCTACACTGCCAGGAAAAGGAAAGCAGCTTAGGTCTGTACGATGTGCTGCCAGGAAGGAAGCAGAGCGGAACTGTGGAGGGAGCCTACAGATATCTTAGGAAGAGCTGTAGGGTGCTTTTCAGTGCTAAGAAGAATGGAGCTATCGTATGAATCAGCGCAGTGACGTCACGGCCTGAGTGCCCTTGCAGGTGGTGTGGGTAGCGTGAAGAAAACATTCCCTTTAAGAACCAGATGGGTTCGTGGTTAATAACCTGAGACTGGGAGGTGCATAAAATTGGATTGTAATCTTTACTTTGTCACTTACTCACTCTGAGACTTTCGGCAGTTAAATACCTTCTTAAGAAATTCATTTTTGGGGGCGCCTGGGTGGCTGAGTGGATTAAGCCTCTGCCTTTGGCTCAGGTCATGATTTCAGGGTCCTGGGATCAACCCCGCATCAGGCTCTCTGCGGGGAACCTGCTTCACCTCTCTCTGCCTGCTGCTCTGCCTACTTGTGATCTCTCTCTGTGTCAAATAAATAAACAAACTTTTTAAAAAAAGAAAAACTCATTTTTCACCTTCATAAAATAGGTGTTATTAAACTTCCCTTATAGAATTATTGTGGGATTTGCTTTTTTTACAGTATCTTTTTTTTACAGTTCATCCATTGCCTAGCACTTAAGAAGTGATCAGAAAATGGTCCTGGTGATGATTTTCCTCCTTCCTGTTACTGTTCTTAAAACAAATACCTTCATACATCATTATCTCCCACACCAGCCACAAAACCATGCTTGACTCTCCAGTCTTTTCCCACAAGCACACATCTTCCTGGGGTCCTACACTAGAATGCCTGTGGCCTTCACTGCCACACCTTTCTTTCCTCCCCTTTCCCCCCAGCGCACAGGTCCCTGTCAAAGTTTATGACGGGCCATGTTGAAATTTCATCAAACAGAACCTTTCTCATTTCACATTCCTAAAGCCCTGGGTCTGTGTTTGACTTTTACTACTGTTACCACCGAATGTCTGGTCAAAGTTCTGAGGTTGAGGAGGGGGCCTTGAGCTAGGACTGTGGACATGTTAGGTTCTGCCAACTCTGTGACTTACAAGATGTTTGATTTTATAATGTCATTCATATCTATTGTTTTATCAGAGAGCCTCAAATACTCTTATTTATTTGGAGTTTTTCTGTGAGGGATAAGGAAAGCAGGGAAATGGGAGTTTTAAATCGCAACTAGGTATCAAAGATTACCTCAGGGTTATTATGGTCATTATTTTTTCAGTGTGTCTGGGAAGGTGACCATGATGGATGAGAGGGCCCGGTGAGGAGCAGAACTCTGAGAAGCTGCAAGTGTCTTCACAGTAAAAGGATTCTCACGGGAAAGCTCATGACAAAGGAGGTTCTAGATGTTCATTCCTCAAAAGTTGAGGACCTTAACACACTTGAAACTAATGTAATACCGTATGTTAACTCTACTGGCATTAAAATTTAAAAAGAAGTTGAGGACTTGTGTGTAGATACTGCTATTTCTGAGGATACGGTACTGAACGAAAACAGAACAGTCTCTGATTCCTAGAGCTTATATTCTAGTGGGAGGATTCAGGCAACAAAAGATATACATTAGGTAGTGATAAAAAGAAAAATCAAGCATATGGAGAGTGACTGTGTGGGTGGCCAAGCTTTAGTGAGGCTACACAGAGCCATCTCTGCCGATAAGGGAGTGGGTAAGGAGATGTGGAATGAAGTCACTGAGTCAGGTGGAGATTCGGGTGAATGGTCTTTCTTGAGGAAGTAACAGCAAGTCTAAATATCTGGAGGCAGCACTGTATTTTGGTGCTTTTTAAAAAAAATTTTTTTTAATTTAATTTTATTTTTTCAGTGTTCCAAGATTCATTGTTTATGCATCACACCCAGTGCTCCATGCAATACGTGCCCTCCTTAATACCCACCACCAGGCTCACCCAAACCCCTACTCCCCTCCGCTCCAAAACCCTCAGTTTGTTTCTCAGAGTCCACAGTCTCCATGGTTCGTCTCCCCATCCGATTTCCCTGAATTCACTTTTCCTTTCCTTCTCCTAATGTCCTCCATGTTATTCCTTATGCTCCACAAGTAAGTGAAAAACCATAGTGAAAAGAAGGGCCGTATGTACCCCAATGTTCATAGCAGCAATGTCCATGATCACCAAACTGTTTCAGTGCTATTAACACCAAGGTTGTATGAGAAAAGATCAAACAGATGGTGGCTCACTCAAGGCCACTTCTCTCACGGGCTTCACTTGGTCCCTCCATCCACCAAGAGTGAAGGAAAATCAATCCTTGTTCTGATGCGGGTAGAAATTGATGTCTAATATGAGCTGGGGATGAATAACATGTTTGAAGCTTGCATAAGAAGCCCTTGTGACCCCAGGTATCTGGCCTGTTTGTCCAGGATACTCAGCTACCTTTTATTGACACTCGTTTCTTACCCTGAACCTTTTTTTTTCCCCCCCCTCACCTACCCAGGATTCTGTAAGCAAGAAACACTTTAGAAATTCTGGCTGGGCAGGCAGGAGCCACTAGAGAAGCTACAATGACCTCAGCGCTCCTGGTGGATATACGAGATGAAGTAACCTGCCCCATCTGCCTGGAGCTCCTGACAGAGCCCCTGAGCATAGACTGTGGCCACAGCTTCTGCCAGGCTTGCATCATGGGGAATAGCACAGAATCAGTGATGGGCCAAGATGGGGAAAGCAATTGTCCTGTGTGCCAGACCAGCTACCAGCCTGGGGACCTGCGGCCAAATCGGCACCTGGCCAACATAGCGGACAGGCTCCGAGAGGTCGTGTTGGGCCCCGGGATGCAGCTGGAGGGGATTCTCTGTGTGCACCATGGAGAGAAACTCCAGCTGTTCTGTAAGGAGGATGGGAAGCTCATTTGCTGGCTTTGTGAGCGGTCTCAGGAGCACCGAGGTCACCACACGGTGCTTATGGAGGAGGTTGTCCACGAGTTCCAGGTAGGATTCCAGAGGGAAGGCAGGGAGGAGCAGGGCCCTTGGCAGGAAAGTGTAACTTTTCTCCATGCTGTAATCTCATTTCTTTGGTTTCCCCATTTGCCTAGAGGATGAACCTAGAAAATGCCCTCCTGCCCGAGAGTAGAGACTTTATCTCTTCCTTGCTGCTCAAGACCTGCTCCGCATGAGTACAGGTTGCTGCGGAGGGTAACTAGGGGGCTTGGTGGTTGAGTGTGGGGGATATGGTGGTGGTGAGTGGAAAGTCCTGCATGGATAGGTTCCCTGGGAGGAAAGAGAATCCACCAAAGCCCTTTGGTTTTTAATGCACACCTCCTGTGCATAAAAGAGCCTTAGGCCTTCTTATTTCTCAGTCCAGCAGGACAGGCTTCCGAGGTCAGCATACCCTCCCCCCCATTCACTACGTTCTGAGCACAGAGATGAGGTAGTGCTTCACCCTGCTTGCCCTGATGTTTCTTTAAGGAGAAGTTCCAGGAGTCTCTGAAGAAGCTGAGGCTAGAGCAGCAGGAAGCTGAGAGACTGGCCACGGTTATCATAAGGAAGAGGACATCCTGGAAGGTAAGAAGGATTCTTCCTGAAGGTCTGAAGGTGTCCTGGGAGAAGAATTGGGGCAGGGCATGGGAGTCTGGGTCCTATCTCTTCCTAATTTGGCTGGCAGAGCTCCTCGTTGCATAATCCTTCACTGCAGCCCTTCCCAACAAGGGTGTTATTCATGGCGCAAGGATGGAGAAGGGGGAATTAGAGAATGAACATATCAAAAAAGGAATTCGGGTTTTTAAAGATACTTACATAGGAGGGGAACCGTGGCCATTGGCAGCCGGCAATTCCTGATTCCAGACCTTGTTCTACAGTTGGAAGTTCTGAAAGCTCCCGGAAAGACAGGTCACACACCAGCTTATCATTCCCACATGGGTACTCAAAATTGGAAGGGAGATGGATGCAGAGGCCCAGGAGGCTGGGGAGGCAGCTTTAAATCTAGACCTCCCCTGGGAGCCACAGTCTATGTCATAGAGTCCTAGATAAGGTAGCATGGGGCTCATGGTTTGGGAAGAGCTGAAGGAAAGAACAGGTTCTGAGGGACTTCCTTCCCATCTCTGCTCCTCCTTTCCCGGTGAAACCTGGCCAGGAGAGCAGCACTGAGCCTGATCCTCCACCCCTGCCCACCCCCAGCCCAGTTGGAGAGCAGAGACCCTAGCTCAGCAGATGAGCAGGCTTTTTCTCTTGCATGTTCCCAAAGAATCAGATGGAACCCGAGAGACACAGGATCCAGACAGAGTTTAATAAGTTGAGAAGCATCCTAGACAAAGAGGAGCAGCGACAGTTGAAAAAGCTGGAGGAGGAAGAGAGGAAGGGGCTGAGTATTTTAGAAGAAGCTGAGAATGAGCTGGTCCAGCAGAGCCAGTCACTGAGGGAGCTCATCTCCAATCTGGAGCTTCGGTGTCAGGGGTCAGCGCTGGAGCTGCTGCAGGTAAGGCTACTGAGGAGCCCCTAGTCTGAGAGTCACGGCAAAGGGAGACCAACATTCCTTCCCTTCATGCATGGGGTTCATGACCTGGTAGGGGCGAGAAAAAGATTTATTTGGCCCTGGTGTGCTTCTTGCCTATTAAACCATATGGAGGTCATGGGTAAAACATAGGATGATTAAAGTACAAATGCTTGGGGACTGTCTCATTTTTATTTATTAAATACAAAGTGTAGTCCAACAGTTTGTTACCGTGGAGATCTGTTATACCCACTGATGTTCTAGAGCAACATTTCTGAATCTCAACACTACTGATACTTTGAGCTGGAAATTCGTTGCCATGAGGGGCTGCCCGGTACCCTGTAGGATGTTTGGCAAGCCTCCCTGGCCTCCACGTACTGGATGGATGTCAGTAGCATCTCCCCTCAGCTGTGACAACCCAGAATCTTCCAGATATTGTCAGATGTCCCTGTGGGGTAGGTACATAATCCTCTCTCCCCCTGTTGGGATTCACTGGCCATGTGGTACCTATTGTCTCTGAGGCTGTGTTGGGATTTGTCGGGTACTTTTTACCCCAGCTTAGTCACAGACAAACACACATCAGGCTCAAGTACTTAGAGATTCTTTATGTCATCATCATTCCTTCTTTGCTTTCACTGTCTCCTCTTGGGCGGAATCATTTAACATGTTGTAATAGAAGTATAAACAGGTCTTTTTAAGGCACAAAAAAGGCTGGGCTCTGGGGTGTGTGTGTACATGTGTGTGCACGTGTGTGCACTAGAAGGGTGCAAGGTGTCAAATTTGGACAGATTTGATGCAGGAGCTTGAACAGAAGTTGAAATCTTTTCAGGTGTTTTCTACGTAGAGTGAATGGTGTGACTGATGGTGGAGACAGGATGTATTTTGTAACATTCTGGAAACTTCAGGCTATTCCTTACTTTCTTGCTTTCCTCTTGCTCTCCCTTTGTTGGTAGAATAATCATTTCTTTACTTATTCTTGGGCCCTGGCGTTGGGGTCATGGAGAAGCTACACTCTACCTATTGGGGCTTTTCTCACGCGTTGCTTCTGGTTTCCAATCTCCGTTTTATTCCTCTTGCCCTTTTTCTTCAGCTTGGGTATTGGGTTACCCTAACGCTTCTCCCTGCCCCATTCTAGCCCCTCCACAGATATTTCAAGTTGTAAAAATTGCTCCGTAAGTGCAGAGATCATCAGTTTGTATGATTTCACCCAGGTCCCTGTCGAGAGCCTCACACCTCTTCATATGACTGCCCAGTGGGTCTTTTAACTTGAGTGCTGTTTCACAGTCAGGTTTTCTAGAGCTAACCCAGCACACTATCCTCCTCCTCTTCTCCATATCTGTGTGACTTTGTTGCTCGTTAAGATTTGATAACCGATGGAAGTCTGCAGCTCTCAAGTTTCAGTGTGACCCTTGAGAATAAAGTTAATGGAAGAGAAGGAGCCAAGAAGTGGCCCCAGATTGGCCATCTGACTTCCTCCATACAACCATGCCTGAAGGCTGATGCATCCTGGATATTCGGTATAAATTGACACATCTACCCCCTTTGCTGCTTTCTGTATTCAAGCCGTTGAGCTGTGTTTCTGTCAAATGCCGCTGAAAATAGCCCCAACACAGAGAAAATAATTATTCCTGTGTTGTGTAGATCAAGCCTTTTCTTCAGTCAGTGTGGTGCGTAGAACAGAAGTCAGGGAGACCAAGGGGGAGGCCATGAGGTAGTTTTGCTCTAGGGAGGCTGGCGGTGGCAGTAATGACAGTGAAGGGCAGGTGGCTAGAAGATGGGGACTGGCTTTGTTTGAGATGGGACATCAGGGTGAATAAAAGTTAGTTTTTAGGATCACGCTTTGTCTGAATTTAGTGATTAAATGGATGGTGGCAGCACTGAGGGAGATTAAAGGAAAGAGAACTCACAGTTGCAGGAAAAGTAAGGGTTTTTTTGTTTTGTTTTGTTTTTTAAATGTCTTGATTTTGTGGTGCCTGTGGCTCATTTGCTGGCATATGTGAGAGAGATCTGAGCAGAAGGACAGGTTTGGGAATCATGAACATGGGTGTGTTGAAATCAAGACAACTGGATGAAGTCAGCAAGGGTAGCATAAACGGTGAGAAGAGGTGAAGTTTGAGAAATAACCACTTTTAAGGCTCTTGAATCTTGAGATAGCAACATCTCATCTTTGAGAATGGCAGCATCTCAAAGACAGAAATTATGACTTAATCATGTGGGATTCTCTAGTGCTAATAGATGATGCAAATATACACACTCTGTCATCAAAATAAAGGTACCAGTGAATGAGTTCAGTCATCTCCCAACATCTCTACGTAGGGTCTCAGGGACAGTCTACTCTGAGTTTGTATTCTATTTTGTGGCCTCCATTTTGGGTCCATCTTTATTCCCATCATACCATGAGGTGGTGGGATTGGGATAAGGAACATGGATGAACCTATTACTCCCTGACTTAATATTTCTCTTTCCTTCCTAGGATGTGAGTGATGTCATGAAAAGGTATGTTTAGGAGAGAATACAGGGTGGTTCCCTTGGGTTGACAAAAGATTCCTATACCCATAGAGTTATCTTATGGTCAGTGGAAAAGTAAAGAAGAAAAATCACAAGGCAGGGAATGTTTAGGACTTTGATGTCATGAGTTGCTCATCTTGAGAATTTTTGAGTTCCCTGAAATAAAGGGAATTACCTAGTTTCTATGGTAAGAGAATTTGGGGTAATTTTGGGGGGGATGGACACAAATTGGGGACAGTAGTGTTCTTAAGAATAAGATTTACAGTATCACTAACACCTGTAGTAGCCCATGATGCAACCCTTTGCTACAAAACTACCTGTTTCCAGCCCTGATTTTAGTAGCTTTTAGTATTTTATTGGGGAACTTTCCCATCTGTCTTTCCAAGGTCCAAGAATCAGTGCCTCGGTCATTTGCTTTCAATTTCCCTTTCTCTCTTGGCTTTAGAAGAGTCCTGCCTTGCTACCTATTTTTCCTCAGACATCCCATTTTTCTCAGTTCCAGTAAAAACATAGACATGAGGTCTTGAGAAGATTGGTTTGGGCCCTGGAACAAAAACATGTTCTCTTCTCTGTCCCAGACTCTAGAATCTCATCCATCAAGGTGACCTCTGAGGTTCCCCACACACCTGGCACCTTTAAGCTTCTCACAGACACATGAAATATGGAGTCTGTTGTCACTTCTGAAGTGTTCACTCATGGTTTAGAGGTGAAGATGTCTCCTTTCTCCAACTGGCATGATACTCCCAGAGACAGTGCCTCCTCAAACACTGTTCTGGAGGCCTTTGTTCCTAGGCCTTTGACAGATCTTAAGGCCTAACCTCACTGTTCAGAAGGAAACCCTTTACTAGTACTCTCAGAGTCCCAGCAAGCAGGTTCCTGGTATTCTCCCTGTCAACACACACATCTCCAGCCCCTTACACTAGACCCTTAAGATGGCACTGACTGTAAGTATTTAGTATCTTTCTTAGACTTAGCAAAAGATTTCCCAGTGATTGTTTAATTTTATATAATCTTAGGATGTAGAGAGAAGGGAAATGGTATTTTACAAAAACAAAACAATCCTTTGCAGGATTAGATCTTATCAAAATTTACACAGATGGTGAGAAGCTAATTTCTAGTCTAGGTCTTCTGGTCCCAGTGCCAGAGCTCTTTGCAGACGGATGTTAATTTTCTTCAAGAAAGAATGCTGAAGTTCTCCCAGGAGCTTGGTCGATGAGGGGATGGATGTTGGAGAAACCCAAGGCCAGCAGTGTAGGATATTCATAGGTCTGTTCTCTCTAGAAGTGAGTTCTGGACCCTAAAGAAGCCAGAAGCTCTCCCTACTAAGCTGAAGAGTATGTTTCGAGTTCCAGATCTGAAAAGGATGCTGCGAGTGTTCAGAGGTGAGGAGATTCAGGGGACAGCTTTTTGGAGGTGGAATTGTTGTAACATAAGCAATAAATAGAATAGAGTATAGAGTTGGTGTTTGGGAGTAGTGGTGCAGAGAAAGGACAGGGAGAGAGGGACATTCAATGCTGAAGAAGATGCAGTTCATACTTAAGGGGGAAGCAAGATGGCCAGCTTGCATCCTTATAGAATTCCCTACCTCACCCCTCAACCAAGCAGACCTGACCTATGTCCATTCTGTACAATGTAATTGGCTCTATTTATCATTACAGAACTGACGGATGTCCAGAGCTATTGGGGTAAGTAGCAACCATGGCATCTTTGAGCTGACATGTCCTTATCCTTCCTCATATGCTCCCCCCTGGACATACCACACACTCTGATACAAGGTGTTAATACCATCTCTCCATCGCCCCACATAGTTCCAATTCCTCCACTTCTGTGTTTCCTCTTCTCGGTGTCTTAAGTCCCTCTACCCATCGTCATCTGCTGATTTTGTACCTTTTCCCACAGTGGACGTGACTCTGAATCCACACACAGCTAACTTAAATCTTGTCATGTCTAAAAACCGAAGACAGGTGAGATTTGTGGGTGCCAAGCTGTCTGGGTCTTACCTAGAAGAGCATTATGACTGTGGTATCCTGGGCTCTCAGCACTTCTCCTCTGGGAAACATTACTGGGAGGTGGATGTGACCAAGAAGACTGACTGGATCCTAGGGGTATGCTGTAATTCAGTTGACTCTACGTACTGTTTCAACCAGTTTACGAACAGTCGGAATGTTTACTCCAGATACCAACCTCAGAGTGGCTACTGGGTGATCGGGCTGCATCATAAACATGAATATAGAGCCTATGAGGAGTCTTCCACTTCCCTGCTCCTCTCCATGATGGTGCCCCCTCGCCGTGTTGGGGTTTTCTTAGACTATGAGGCCGGCACTGTCTCCTTTTATAATGTCACGAACCATGGCTTTCCCATCTACACCTTCTCTAAATATTACTTTCCTACCACCCTTTCTCCATATTTTAATCCTTGCAACTGTGTAGTCCCAATGACCCTGCGTCGGCCAAGCCCTTGAACGTTCCTCTGTCTGCATCCACATCTGAGCAGGATCCTTCACTCTGAGATTCATCTGTACCTCAGTCTCTCCTTTCTGAACTTCCATTTTCTCGTATTCTTACATCCTTCCCTTCAGACATTGGCTCAGCGCCAAAATATACCCAGAGGTGATAGTTAACATCCCTAATTAATTACAGATCTTGGGATGGGTTGGGGGGTCGCTTTCAACATGTTACCCTTAAGCATGATATTTGACGGAGTTTTTTTTGTTGTTGCTGATTCATGGGAGCAAATTCAGCAGGTTCCTTTCTATTAATTTGCTATACTTTTTGGTACTGAATGGAAAATTGAATTTTAGCAGATAGTATCTATAATTATTGAGATAATCCTCTGTCATTTTTATTCTGTAACTGGAATACATTGATTTGTTTCCATTTTTAAGTGTAACACCAAGCCCTGGAATAAATCACTGTTCTTCATGTGCAATATTGGATTTGTTTTTGCTAATACATTGTTTAAGTTTCATTTCTATCTCCATTTATGAAAAAAATTGACCTGCATTGTAACATTGTTGTCAGGTTTTATAAAATGCAATGAATAAGCAAAGAAATTACTGTATTTCTGTGTAAGTATATATAGGATAGAGTGCTAAAAAGCATTATACAAGTTAACTTTGGTGGATTTAAATTCAAAGAAAGAAATCTTAACTTCCGTTTTCACTGCAACCTTCATGGATTTAAAAATTTAAGGGTAGTAATTGAAAATTTAAAACAAATTCTCTCAAATTCACTGAAGTAGATAAAGGGAGAGAAGAAAATGATCACTCCAATACAGATTTTTCTCCCAGAATGGGAGGGAAACATACCAAGAAAATATAAAGTGGTTTTAGGAAGAGAACGAGTTTTTCGGGCTTCACGGCCTATCTTTATGCTCAAACGTGAACAGCTTGTGGGTGAGCTGCTATGACTTTGCTAGAGGTGGTGTATGCTTTTGAGCCAGCTCTAGAAGAAATTAGGAGGTGGATGTGAGTGTGGAAACAAATATCAAGGAGTCGACTAGAGCTGCTGTCCAGTATGGTAGCCAAGAGCTACCAGTGGCTATTGAGTACTTCAGATGTGACTAGTCTGAATTGAAGTGTGCTTTATGTATAAAATGCACACCTGACTTTGAAGACTTAATTTTAAAAAACAATGTAAAATATCTTCTAGTATTTCTGTTGTAGATTGCAGTGATAATATTTTGCATATTCTGGATTAAAAATCCATATTAACTTCACCAGTTTCAATTTGCTTTTTAGATACTAGAAAATTTAAAATTACATGTGGCTTATATTGTCTTTCTATTGGACAGCTCTTTCTGTAATGCAGTCTCTATCCTTACCAGGGCCCTAGTGTGGGGCAGATAGGTTCATCTCTATACAGACCCCTTACCCTTCTGAGGTATTTTTGTAGAAGGTAATGGCAGAGAAAAGAAGATTTCAACATGTTTAGAAATTTACAAGGTGGAAGATCATAGAAAGGGATCATGGCCAGAGAAAATGATTCTGCCTAGTCCAGTCCCTGTCTTTAGCCCTCAGTCTGTTGGACATTTGATGTTTCTTCATGGTTTGAGGAAATAGTAACTAGTTCATCCTCAGGGCTCAGCTCTGGTGTCTGTGGGGACATGAAGTACAGGTTACAGTAAAAACCCCATACTGGTTTGCTCTAGGGCAGAATTCTCTTTGGGAGATGAAATTTGTGGGAGACCAGAGGCCAAATGCACTCTTCATCCTGATTTGCCCTTCAGTGGATGAATGGATAAAGAAGATATGGTCCATATATACAATGGAGTATTATGCCTCCATCAGAAAGGATGAATACCCAACATTTATATCAGAGGGGGAGACAAACCATGCATTTCAATTAGATCTATGAAAGGAGATAGAGCAGGCAACTCGTTGCCTACAGAGCTGGTGGGGGTCTGAGGATGAGGAATGGTAGAATCTGCCTGAGTAATTGCTCCCTTCCACTTATTTCCCATGTAATAAGTCCCAGGTAAAAAGGAGTTAGCTCAACTGTCCTCTGCCAGTGGAGGTGTTCAGTGAATGGCTTTAGACAGTAAGGAAAGACAAAGTACTTGCTGGGATTGTGTAGGTGAGATCTGGGGAAGGTTGTCCAGTGAGATTTGGAGGAATGAATTTGCAACCCTGACTCTCCTAGGGGTCTGGGCAGAGGCATAGTGGCCTTGACATTTTGGGTATAATGCAATAGACTAACCTGCTACGAAAAGTAAACCCAAAAACAATGGATCAAATACAAAAAAAAAAAAAAAAATTCTTATAAAAATCAAACATGAGTGTATTTAGTGCTGTGTGGCACTGTTCCATGTGGGTTTTATGTACCAAGCTTGCTTCCATCTGAGTCTGCCATCCCCAAAGACAGTATTGTCTTAAGCATCAAGCCTGCAGAAGGGTAAAAAAACCTGGGGAGGCAGTTTGATTCTTAAATTCCTCTCTTAAATATGGGATTCATAATTTCTGCTTACTTTCTATGCTGAGAATAGCCACAGGGCCATACCTACCTGCAAGGAAAATTGTAGAACTGTCTAGCCATATGCAATTATGTACAATCAAATTTCAAGGAAGGGAAAGTGCACAGATTTTTGTGGAGACCTAGTAGTCTGTTACATGGGCTACAAGAAGCACCTGGAACTTTAGGGTGTTCCTCTTTCTCATAGAAGACCCAGAACCTTAGCTTTTTTTTTTTTTTTTTTTTTTTTAGAACTATGTTTATTCCATCCTGTAGCCTAAAATTGTGAAAGAAAGGGGAAGTGATGAGATGTTTTGCTGTCATACACATGGGCATGGGCTATGTAACAACCATCTTTTTAAATTAAAGGCCAAGCTAAGATCAAATAGTAAATAAGTTAAAGGAGACAGAACAAAAGGAATGGAACTGGTAGAGAGTTTATCAGGATTTTCAGGAGGTTGGAGGACAACAAATTTGGAATGCATGCTCTGCTCTGACTGGATGGACTCCTAAACAGATTGCAAATGGGTTTTGTCTCTTACCTTGTCACTTCCAGGAAAGATTTTGCAGAGATTGAAGTGAGATCTAATGAGAGCTGAGCTGAGGAGGTTGTGCATGTGGACATACACAAAGAGATGAAATACTCAAAAGGAACTACAGGAACAAACATGGATGGATAGAATAATTTACTTAAAAAAGAAATAGATGTCCATTTAGTTACTGAATAATGAAGTTAGAGGGGAATGAAATAGTTGTTAAATACTCACAAGAAGTTGAATGTCAATAAATGATTGAAATGTTTACCGAAAGAAAATGAGGTCAAACTTCCTCTGCCTTCCCTTAAGTTATTGAAGTGATAATTCCATATTACAGGTAGAACCTCTGTTTACCAAACAGTAAAATGGTTGATAGGAGGACAAACCTACAACATTAGAAAAACTTAAGAAGTAATACCGAGAGGAAAACTTACAGAAGTGATACCGAGAGATTACAATGTGACGGCCTGAAGGTCTCAGGGGCAGCTATTTTACCAGGAAGCTCAGAAGTAGAACCACCTTTTTAATATCTCTCCCTGTGACCCACATACATGGGCTACATATTTATGGCTTTTTAAACCTGCACATCCCTCCACAATACCATCCCTAAATGAGGGTTGCACACGTGTTATTTCCAGTAAATGAATTGTTAGCATAAGTGCACCAAATTTCCACTCGAAAGGGAATTAACAAATATTCTAAAATTTGTATGGAACCAGAAAAGATCCCAAATAGCCAAGTTAGTATTGAAAAAGAAAGCCAAAGCTGGAGGCATCCCTGTTTGACTTCAAGCTGTATTACAAATCATCAAGACAGCATGGGTATGGCACAAAAACAGAGACCTAGGCCAGTAGGACAGAATAGAGAACCCAGAAATGGACCCTCAACTCTGGGCAACTACTCTTCGACAAAGCAGGAAAGAATATCCAATGGAAAAAAGATAGTCTCTTCAACAAATGGTGTTGAGAAAACAGGACATCCACATGCAGAAGAATGAAACTGGACCACTTTCATATACCCTACAAAAAATGAATTAAAAATGGATGAAGGATAGTGATTTGAGGGGGCGCCTGGGTGGCTCAGTCAGTTAAGCAGCTGCCTTCAGCTCAGGTCGTGATGCTGGGGTCCTGGGATCCAGCCCTGCATGGGGCTCCCTGCTCAGCGGGGATCCTGCTTCTCCCTCTCCCTCTGCCTCTCCCCCCAAGCTTGTGCTCGCTTGCTCTCTGAAATAAATAAATAAATCTTCAAAAAAAAAAATAGTGATTCGAAGGGGCACCTGCACCCCAGTGTTTGTAGCAGCAATGTACACAATAGCCAAAATATGGAAAGAGCCCAGGTGTCCATCGATAAAGCAATGAATAAAGAAGATGTGGTGTAAATGAAGGGGGAAAGCAGGGTTCTTGTCTTACAGTTGAAGAATGAATCTTGTGGACAATGGAGAGTAAGTAAAGCAACATTTTATTAAGCAAGGATACAGAGGGTCCCAACAGTGTCGCCACTGAGAACTTTTAGGGTTGGTCTTTTACAGAAAGCTAACCGGGGAACTTAAATCTTTCTGGCTTCTCTACTGGCAGCACCATTGATTCACCATTGATTAAGGACTAGTGATAAAACATATTTAATGATTTACTTCTTTTTAGGGTCTGGTTATTTTTTGTTGACCACAGTAGACGGTCGTAAGTAAGACTTACTCCTGGGAGACCTGGGGTGGGTGGTCTGGAGAGTTCCCTTATCTCTTGTTTTCTTACATCTCCACATTGTTTGGGATTTCTGTGAGCATGACATAGAGCCCAGCTTTCTCTCTCTCCCAACCCAGCCCCGCCTCCTTCTCATATATATACTGTGGGGATGGGGTAATTGAGTGATGGGCATTAAGGAGGGCACTTGATGTAATGAGCACTGGGTGTTATATGCAAATGATGAATTACACAATTCTACCCCTGAAATTAATAATACCTTATATGTTAATTTAAATAAAACAAAAAAATCAATGTTTAGAACATTAATTACAAAAAATATATTCCTTCATAATTTGGAAAAACTTGAATTTAAATACATACCATATTAAGTAAGTCATTTAAATGTTGGCATTTTTGATAATAATGTTTTAATATTTACATGAGAATACTGAATATTTTGTCTTAATCTATTTATGCTACCTTTATGAGCCAAAGTTATTGGGATGGCTGTCATCAAAAAAAAGAACAACAAAGTAACTCATAGGAAATTGTAAATGTTGGAAGAAATGTAACCCCTGGGCACTGCTGGTAGGAAGGTAAAATGGTGCAGGTGTTATAAAAAACAGTATGGTGGTTCTTTGAAAAATTAGTAATAGATTTACCATATGATTCATCAAATCCATGCTGGGTATATATATCCAAAAGAATTGAAAACAGGGTCTCAAAGATCTATTTGTATAACTGTTCACAGCAACATTATTTGTAATGGGCAAAAGGTGGAAGCAAACTAAGTGGTAATCAATGGATGAATGGATAAACATGATGTGGTTGCAATATTATAATTTATAAGAAATTTATGTATCTGGTTACCCAGAGGCCCAAAACCCAGTCCTCACACGTATTTGGTCTTCATTTGAGGTTCCTGCGTCACAGCTTTCTAACCCTTGGAATTTCCTGTGATAGGGGCAACAAAGTATCTTTTGTTATGTTAATAAAGGTGACAGTAGGACTCCACCCAGGAGCAAGAGCTGGTTCCCCCAAGGACCAGTTTGTGATTAAGGGGTTGGAACTTTCTCTGTTCTGGAAGAGAGAAGGGCTGGAGGTTAAATCACCTAATGGCCATGACTTAGGATATGTATGAAGCCTCCGTAAAAACCCAAAGACTAGGACCTTGGCGCTTCCAGGTTGGTGAACCTGTGGAGATGTAAGCAGAGTGGTGCACTCAGAGAGCGTGGCTGTGCCTCGCCCCTTCTCCATACTTCACTCTCTGCATCTTTCCCATCTGGCTGTTGATTTGATCCTTAAGCTGTTACATGTGTTTCCCTGCCTTTTGTGGGCCACCCTAGCAAATTAAAGGACCCTAAAGAGGAGGCTGTGTGAGTCAGAAGCCAGGGTAACAGCCTGGGGCTTGCACCTGGCATCAGAAATGGGGGCGGGGCAGTCTTGTAGGACTGAACACTTACTCTGTG